GACTGATGCATAAAGCAAAGATCGGTTGCGCTATTCAGTATCATCATGATCAAGGTACTTCCCTCTATTCGTGCTATTATCTATATATTTAAGTCAAACACAGAGTTTGCAGTACTTACTATCTAGGCTATTAAATCAAAAACAAATTGTGCACTATTCAATTTCATCTATGTTTTAGCCTAAAACACAGTGTGTGGTACTCAGTATATCGAAATCACATCCGAGGTGGCTGGCTATTTTAATAGATACTTCAGTAAAAGTATCTGGCCGGTCTTCAGAGCCACTTGTGGTCCTAGCCATTTATAAATGCCGTAACAAAGAGAGCACTTCTTCCTTCCACCATTAACCTCCTCAAGGAGTCCATGCCTCTTCGAAGTGAGCTAATAAACCTTGATCCACTGTCGAACAATTACTGCCCGCCATAAGGTCGGTACACACGAAAGGAATTGTCCCAGGGAGGATAGTGGGGGAAACGGGTCACCGGGCTAGGTGACCCGTCGAGTTTTTTGTATTTTTTTGTTTTGTTTTGTTCTTGCTCTATTTTTGGCTCGGCGAGAATGGGGTAAAAGGTCTTTGTATGGGAACGCTTGCATGCTACACAGGCTACGTCACGCACTACTCCCCAACGACGTGTGTGACAAGCCAACAGAATGGGGTCACGATACAACAAATTGAGCTAATTAATAATTTATGTGGCTCTCTGAAGTTAGCGGTTCTATATATATATATATGTTATGCTGTCGATTGTTGAGAATTTGAGCTCTTTTTTAAAACATTGTATGCATGGCTCGCATGACGTGGAATACAAATGCTTCATAGGAGAATATGTTTTTCTTCTTTTCTGCAGGACGCATTTGCGTCGATAGGAAAAACATTTATGAAGGTGACTGCGATGACAACAGGAGAAATTGAATACGCTGCAACTGTTATTGACCAGCTAAAAATGTCCGTGCCTGGGACGGGCAAACCTGGTATACCTCTCGTGCCATTCGAGGATTCCACTTATTTTTTCTACTACTTGTTTATATTGGTGATGCCGATAGCCCTAGTAAACTTACTGGTAAGCCGCGATTCTCTAAATTGTTTTCGGTCTGTTTGAAACTAAGCAATAAGGTGCCATGTAGAGGGTCTCGATGAGGCTTAATTTATAGATGAGAATTGACCAGTACCTCAAATTTCAGCTGAGAAACCTGCAAGATTGGCTGATAGGTGAAAAATTGGCTGAAATCTTGTTACTGATAGCTGTGAAATGGGCTGAAGTTTTATTGCTGATTGTTGAGAAATATTTCACCAATAACTGAGATGATTCCAACAACCCCATCCAGACCCTCCAGGTAGCAGCAATTGGCAGAAATTATAGCATCTGTAGCTTAGTGTACTGTCATTGCCGCAAGGCCAACACCTATATATAGACACTTTTCATAAATGGCGCCGACATTGAATAACAATAATTATACGTCCTAAGAATGACAGCCATGTGAAAAAAATCTTTGTCTGGAAACATTAACACGAGGTTTAGGATGTATAAAGGACTGTTGTTAATCATATTTAGACGCCATTTTTTGCAGTGTTTAGTGACCTAGTCTTCTACTTCAGACGCACTTCAGACGCGTCTTCAGACGCACTTTAGGCTCGGCACCCAAATGACGAGCACAAAGAGGGTCTGCGTACAAGGCTACTGTTAATCAGGCCATCCGCAAATTTCAGTTGCCGCTCATTATTAGTTTGAAAATTAACCGAGTTTGGAATGAGGCTGGAAGACCACTGGCTGTGGCCAGTAGGGGTGGCGAATGGTTCATAGAAGCGTTTGGGCGTCGGAACTTTTGATTCGATTCCGAAATATCGGAAAGCTCTCTGATAGTTTAGGACAAAGCACAATCTTTTGTTATCTTCCATTCTATCAAACAACTATAAATGTCGGATATCAATAATTGTAATTTAGATCCAACTTAACTCCACTTTTAGGTTTGGCTAGATCCATATGTTAATCATTTTCTGTGCCATCTCTTCTCAGATTGGTCTAGCGGTTGGCGATATCGAGGCCATCCAGAAGACAGCATTCCTTAGAAACAAAGGAAAACAAATCACGTTTATCGCCGACATCGAGAGAAAGTTCCCAAAATTTTT